TTTACGGCCCATTAATTACAATAGGCACCGTGTAGAATGATAAAACGCTTGAAAATCCTTAAATCCTTAAATGAGGAGGTATTTTCAATTAATAACAAGCCCACAGGTACAGGCTGACTTCTTTTTCTTTTTCGTGCTTTCAGCCCACGGATCTGTCCCCGCTGTTTGCTCCATTTACGATCCTCCAGTGTAAACAGACCGGCCATCTAGGAATGCCCGGCATGGGCGGTGCCTCCTGCCGACAGAGGTTATCAATAAATAAATTATTTCGAGGAGATAGGCCGAAAACGCGAGATAAGACGGGTTTCGGTTTCGTTTCCTAAGAAAATTAGAGAGAGGGGCTCAGAGATAAGCCCTTTTATTGAATTTCACTGTTTGTACACTCGAAATTTAAAGACGTCTATAGGCGGTGGTTCAGACGATCCTTCCCTGACGAAATTGGAATCCCTTGTTCAAAGAGGCACTTAACTTTATGTTTAGACACACAAAAAGCTCGATTCGAATTTAAAAAGAAACGCCCTAACAGTTTTGAAACAATGAAATTAAAAACCTAACCCTTTCAAAAAAAAAAAAAAAATAGCGGATCGGTATTTTTATACTTAGTCTTGTTGAGGTCTGCGGGGGTGATAGGTCAAATAAGTTTGGTCGTGTCCAAACAGTCTTCTCCGCTTAGTCTCGCTGGTTTGACGGGTCAGCCATTGGTGCGATTTTTACGAATAGTTAAACAACACCAGATATAATAATTTCGCCAGGAGGTGGTCAGAAATAGTTACGAATTAATGGTGATGAAAGGAGTTTTATGTAGTACCATCTCTAATCATCCATAATAATCTCAATCTACCCATTCTTAACCTTCCCTCCTACCCATCTTTAACTATAACGACCGAAAGCTACAGCGTTGTCTTGTGGGTAACCGCCTCCTACCTATTATCAACCTTTCCTACTCATCTCTAACAATAGCCCAAAACTATAGCTAGGTTTGGAGTAATGTCACCATCTCTATGCAACCTTAACCATCACTAACCTTCTCTAACCCAAAGTATGGTGATACTTGGAATTCAACCATCTCTAAACATAATCTAAAACTATAGCAATGTCTGGAGTAATGTCACCATCTCTACCCAACCTTAGCCATTACTAACCGTCTCTAAACTTCTCTAACCCAAAGTATGGTGATATTTGGATGCAACCATCCTATTCATCTCTAATAATAGCCCAAAACTATAGCAATGTCTGGAGTAATGTCACCATCTCTACCCAACCTTAACTGTCTCTAAACTTCTCTAACCCCAAGTATAGTGATATTTGGAATGCAACCATCCTTATCCATAAACCAAACGATCATAACATTGCGAGTGTAACCATCTATATCCATTTATGTCAATCTGCGCTTATGTTCTAATCATAATCCACACTATCGTAATATTGCGATGTAATCATCTCTATCCAACTTTGACAATCCCTAACCGACTGTATTCATCTTTAACCATCAATATTCATTTATCGCCACCCGTACTTATTTCTAACCATAATCCAAACTATCGTAATATTACACTGTGTACCCATCTCTGTCCAACCGAAAGAATCCTTAACCGTCTCTATCCATCCGGAGTATAGCCATCAATAAACATCCCTAACTTTAACTGGCGGTTAACAAACCCCGACAGGCTCACCGGCGGCAGAAAGCGCAATATGACGCAATTCGTATGATCGGCCAAACCAGCGAGATCAGGAAGATCAGGACAGACCATCACCTATCAGACCAAGAGATGGATTTTCACTAATCGTTAAAACAAACAACAAAATTTATAAGTCATTTTTATGTTTTATGTAAATGAATGCAAGTCGTACGCAGTCATTTTTTATCGTGCAATTTATTAGGGTTTTCTGAGGAATTTATTTGGTTTTATATATTTTCTGGCTTATTTTAACATCATATGTAAATAAGGCAGTGAAATTTATGTTCATTATAGGAATCATGAGTCATGGTAAAAATAGTTATGGTGATGGATTTTTATGAATAAATTTGATATTTATTGGAATTGGTTCAAATGATGGCATACATTTTTCATGGATTTCGAAACTAAGGGCCCCCCCAGGGTGTGAAAAAGCAGAAAAAAGGCTGCTTTTCACGGCGTCCGTTGAACCTGGAGAGCTTTCACTAATTTGAATAGCGCCGCGAGTTGTCCTCCAGCCAGTTCGCCTATTTTGGAAGTCATTGCGGAACATCTGGCTTATCCCGTCCACCCGGAGGCCGTCGTCGCTCGGGGGGAAAATCCTTCTGGACGTGAAAATCCCCGAGACCGAAAGTCGAATCCACGGATTCCCCGGTACCCTTAGCCTTGTTAACACAATTTGACAGTTTAATTTTATTTTGAGGAGAACAGGGAACGAAGACGGTCCCGGCCCGTGCCAAATCCAATTTAAAAATTCCAAAGCCAAGTTGCGAATTAATTCGCAAAATCGAATTACCCGTCCCTTTCTCTTCATGACGGACTGTGATGTAAAAGGCGTGACATTTAAAAACCTCTGTCGACTCGCCTTATTAATTTGACGCCGGTTTTCAGCCGAAATATGTAAATCAAAATTAACTCCGGCCTGTGAAAGCCATTCTGAAAACACTCGGATCGATCTGGATGATCACGACGTTACGTCTGTCTTTTTTTTACTAAATCCTACAACACTGCCAAATAAACATCATTATAGCTTGAAAGAAGGATAAATAAATAAATTGGGTGGGCTACATTCGTGTAGTTTCATAATCACTCCGCCTCTTTTACCTTTAGAAGAAAACGTATTAAACCGACAGACAAAAGCCGGAAGAATTAAAGATCAAAAACACTTTCTCTAAAAAAATATGCAAGTATTGAATAAGATGGCACACTCCGGAGGTACGAAGACATCCGATGAGACGTCACTGCGTCAGACACACACCATCCGTGTACCTCTGAAATAAAAAAGGCCAAACAGCTCCGGCCAGTAAGAGTATTGATTAATTGTATATACAGTTCCAATTAGGCGAAGAGTTACGACAAGTTGCACAACCGATGATATATTATTAAGGAAAGAGTTCTCATTTTAAGCTCTGAAATGTTTTTAGTTCCACTTATAGGACAAGTCCAAGGACTACCTTGCGAAGACCAGCTGTAAGATGATGACCGTTTAGGACCAACCTGGTCCGCCTATTACCGCAGGTTTGTCAATAGCTACTTTTCGTCTTAAATAATCGGTTAGCGAGGATATAAGACATCCACGACAGGTTCTAAATGTCCCAAGACAAATATTCAGTTGGGAAACGTTCAAGGTTGGTTAATGATGTTCAAAGCTACACAGCACATATCACTGGTTAGGAGGAATATCGTTTAGTGATGGATACTTATTGTAAAACCATAATTGTTCGGGATACGTAAGAATATGCAGGTACAGTCAAGCATAAGAAAGATGGTTATCCATCACATATCACTATAGTTGGAATGGTTAATGATGGTTAAGAAAGAATAGGATTGTTACAGATACTTTTGATTTGAGATGTTTAGAATTGTCTCACCCTTAACCCTCCGCAATCAACTCTAGCCAAAACCTAATCGTGTGGAGTGTGACCATCCGTAGCAATCCTCAACTATCACTAATCTGGACTATCAGAAGGGTAAGCATCTTCCAACAAATACCCAACCATACCTAAATCCCAGACCTAAAGCGATGTCTTGGTCGTCCAACCATCTCTACTATTTTTAACCATCCCTACTATCTCTTTACAAAACTCAAATGTACGGATTATAGCTATCCGTACTCATCCTTCACGATCTCTAATCATATATAACCGTCCTTACCCATTTCCAAACACAACCTAAACTGTCATGATATCTGGAGGGTAACCATCTCCTACTCATTCTCAACCCTACTTACCCAACTCTGACCATAACTCAAAGCATGTCTGAGGTATAACTATCTCTACCCATTCTCAACTTTCCCCACTTATCTCTAACTATAACCCAAAGCATGCCTTAGGTGTAACCATCTCCTACTCATTCTCAACCCTACTTACCCAACTCTAACCATAACTCAAAGCATGTCTGAGGTGTAACTATCTCTACCCATTCTCAACCCTACTTACCCAACTCTGACCATAACTCAAAGCATGTCCGAGGTGTAACTATCTCTAAACATTCTCAGCTTTCCCAACTTATCTCTAACTATAACTCAAAGAATGTCTGAGATGCAACAATCTCTAGCCATTCTCAACCCTCCCAACCAATCTCTAACCATAATATCTCAACCCTCCCTACCAATCTCTGGCCATAACTCAAAGAATGTCTGAGGTGCAACAATGCTTAGCCATTCTCAACCCTCCCTACCAATCTCTAACTATACCTCAAATCGAATCTGAGGTGTAACTATCTCTACCCATTCTGAACCCTCCCTACCAATCTCTCTAACCCATATGTGTCGAATGAAATCATCCCTATCCATCCTTAACCATCACTACCATAGCCCACAACTGATGATATCTTCAGGGTAACCACCTTCAACCTCAACGTACAGGATGTTTTGTGTGTAAACTTCTCTACTCATTCTCAAACGTCACGATCTTTTAAAACCTTTTACATTTATATTATTTCTCCGTTTGGCAAATTAGAAAAAGATATCGGCATCTTCAGTGTTCGTTCTTGTTCAACTGTCGTGTATTTCCTTTTCATTCTTCCACTCAATTGACTTCGAGATTTGCAACGACGAAACACGCCCCCGTCTGAATACTAAAAAGCGTCAATCCGATCATTATTTCACTATGTCCACTTGGATGAACGCGTAAAGAAATAATATCGCCAACGTCGGAGACCGGTTTCGGACCGCTTATTCGTAATTATTCATCGACCTATTTGCCCACTCGCCCCCCCCCCGGTTGGAATTTCTCCATTAAAAACCTCCCCAAGACCGTTATTTAAGATTTGAATGTTATCTTTTTTTATTCAGTGTTTTGTAAAAATATTTTGGGGATTTACCTTGAGCAGTGTCAGTCTGGAGCGCCAGTAAGGCGACGAGGAGGAGCACGGCCATCTCACTGACACATCTTCCTTTCACCACCTGGAACCTAAAAATAACAAATAAAGTTATAACAAAATAAACGGGGTATCACAAACATACGTTTTTTACCATTCGTCTATAGAATTGTTTTAAATAATTAATAAATTTGTATCTAATTTTAAAAAAAATTGTGTTGACATATCTCTCTAAGACACCTTGTAGATATAATAGATAAATTATTATATATATTATTAAGCTGAATTTCACTGATCCGGCCCGGAGGACCAATAAAATTTGAATAATAATTTAGGGCTCATACAAGCGGTTACTCGCGCTTTTATACGCACATGGATGTATATGTAAAGATGGCAGAAAGAGCAGAGAGAAAAAGAAAGAGAAAGAATGTGAGAGGGATTTTGAGTATTCTCTCTCTCCCTCTCTCTCTCCCTCTCTCTCTCCCTCTCTCTCTCTCCCTCTCTCTCCCCCCCTCTCTCTCTCCCTATTTTTCTCTGTCCCTTTCATCATTCTCGCCCCCTCCCTCCTACGTCATTCTGTTTTTACACCATATTACATTCATATACGTATTTTATTAGTCCTCCGGGTCGGATCGAATGTTCAGATAAGGATTCAGTGTAAATATACATCGTGTGTTATAAAGAATATACACGCTGGTCTATATTTATCCTTTTCTTGCATTTTGCAACTAGTAAACAACCTCCACTGCAGTGCAACAAAGAGAGAGAACTAGATTGGTTTGAAAAAATTGTAAATAAAAAATGTAAACTTAAACATCAAACTTGCAAAAATAGTATAGTACAGATTTTGATTTACCTCCAATTTTAAATATGTACCTAAATAATATTTGACGTACAAATTAATCAAATTAATTAATTTAAACACTTGATTATTTAACTGTATTGTTAATTTATTTATGTATAAAAAGACTTCTTACATTATTTATTAAGTTAATATTTAGTTCTTTAATTTTTAGTTCAAAACCATCGTCTCACTGGAACGTAGCGTTGGCGGTGGATCGGTGGGTTCACTCTAGAAGTGTTTTTAATTACTACTGATGATGAGCGTAATGCTTGAAATCCGGATCGTTGTAAACAAAAAATCTGCGAGTACAAGAACCATTAACAAAAAGTGAATCTACATACTCACCCCTTCATAATTTCTATAATCATTTCCTTATCCTCAATAGCGCCGTTTTATAGAGGCATGCACTTGGGAAAATTAATATAAAACATCTTGTTCATAAAATTTTCTACAGTATTATAATGAAGAGAGGGAGAGAGAGAGAGAGAGTGAGAGGCATAGAGAGAGAGAGAGTATACTGAAAGCTTGATCGGTACTTTCACAATTTATAAGATGAACTTATTCTTCTAAGCCTGATGAAGCATTTAATCTGTACATGAATTATTTTATAGGCAAGTATTCAAACTATTATAGTTTATTTTATGTTATTTTGCACAAATTTGTAAATTCTTTTCAGGAATTTTTTCAAAATTCATTGCAGTTTATAATGAGATGGTGAGAAATTTTAATTTTATGTGCATGTATTCTATAAAATTGTTAGTAAATTTTGTAATTATATAATTTTCTCTCTTTATTGATTTGTTAGAGGTTAAATGAATGTAAAATTTTATTTAGTTATTATTACTATTCCACATTCAGCTTAAATTTTCTATTTTTATTGGGTTTTTTTATTATTACATATATATGATCATTTAGAAGCGCATGTATGTAAGTTCAAACTGTAAAATGTTCGTTTCTTGTTGAGTTTAAGAAAGGTCAAATTGACTTAACTCTGCGAGATTTGTAAAATTAAATCGTTTATCAAATTAAATCTCTCTCTTTCTCTTCCTCTCTCTGACTCTCCCTCTCTTTCTGACTCTCTCTCTCTCTCTCTCTCTGACTCTATCTATCTCTCTCTCTTTCTCTTTCTCTCTCTCTCTTTCAGTCTCACTCTCTCTGTGTCTGTTTCTCTTTCTCTCTCGCACTCTCTCTCACTCCTCTCTCTCCCTCCCTCTCTCTCTCTCTCTCTCTCTCTCTCTCTCTCTCTNTCTTTCTCTCTCGCACTCTCTCTCACTCCTCTCTCTCACTCTCTCTCTCTCTCTCTCTCTCTCTCTCTCTCTCTCTCTCTCTGACTCTCTCTCCACCTCTATCTCTATCCCTATAATTTGTCAGTTGACATTCCGATTTTATTGTTCTCAGGGCCGGATAGAGTATATAGTAATTCGAACATATTTATATGCACGTGTACATTTACATAATCATCCCCTTCCTTTATTGTTTATCCAGTAAGAGTACCTCTAATAAAATTTCGAGAAAGATAGGTTCAGAAATATACGATTCCAGTGGAAAGAATTTAAAAGGGAGAGATATCTTATCATCTTTCCCAATCGTATGGAAAGTTGAAGGAAGCGAGAACAGACGTATACAAGGGGCAAGCGGCATGTCTGGCGTATCAGCTAAACGATCCTAGCTTGGAGGTTTCTCTTTTGAGTGTATTTCATGCCGGAAAAACCGACGGTGGCAATTTTGTCGAAATTGTTTGTGAATCCTGCGTCTACTCAGCAAACAAACCACGTCCTCTCTCGACAGGGTCCCGTCGTTTGTCCGGTTTCCAAATCCCTTGGGGCGTTGGGTGTATTCCGCCCCCTGGCTCCGCACGACGTGGAAATTCGGCCCGATTAGCTTTTCACGGCTCGGTACGAATTCCGCTGTAGAATTTAAAACTACTGTTAATAATAAACAACAGGGATCGGGGAGCGATTTGGTCCGAGGCGACGGGCCGGAGTGGTATGGGGTAAAAAATGAGAATAGAACGAGAGAAATTATGCAAATTTCCACTGATATAATATTCATTTCGGCCGGCGGAATTGATTACACGGCCGGTCTAAAAAAGGGTAAAAACGCCCGGTAATTGAGCGATCCGATAAATTAGGCCGGTCGAAATCGGCGGCTATAAACAGAACGGGCAAATCCTTCCCCGGCTGTCCGCACAGAAAATCCCCCTTTTCAGAGAGACTTTGACAGTTTTCATCATCCTTTCACGAACCAGGTCGACGGACCAATCGGCAGAATTGTTAGCGAAGTCTGCCGACTTGCAAAATGGCCGGCTGCTTAAGCATTCAGCAGGTCTACTATCATCAGCCGGTGTGCCGCTGTGTCAGCACTCTTTTCTTTCCAATCCGCTCCATTTTTAACAACACTCTACAACAAACAAGCTTGTTCAAAAAAAGAACAGTTTCCTTTGTGTACAATCAGACAAAACAACGCCAAAGGGTCAGTTTTCCCATTAATCCTAGGCTTCGGAGTCGCACCCCGTATTTCTTTTCCCTGTTCCTTTCCCTTCTGTTTTCATGAGGTCCAGATACGGCTAATTTATATGTTAATAAACGGCAAATTGGTACAAATCTCTATCTCATTCAGTCACTCAATCTCTTTCCCTATTACCTATCTGTGTCATTTCAATCACTGTTTAACTATTACACAACTTCTTCTCTCTCTCTCACTATCCCTTTTTCCATTTGAATAATCGTTCTCCTTTTTTTTAAACTAAGATCGTCTTTCTCATTTCACCTCCTTCTTTCCTAAGGTTATATACAAAATACCTACATATATTAACAATAAACCCTACCCAGTCTCGATCCGGCCCGGATGACCAAATGAATACGTATTTTAATATATGTGAGTTGGATTTTACATCGGATCACAGTACAACCCTGACAAACATCCTATCATCATTAAAAAAATTATAGTACGGTACAGTTAGCTTTACGACCTTCCGGATAGCGACCAATATTGGTCTATTGTGTAATCTACATCACTGACTAGAACTCCACAAGCTTAAGAGTTTTTAACATATCCCGAAGTTTGGTAAGAGCGTATGTATCCTTTGAATCTTGGCTTTTCCTCTTCCGGAAAAAAAGGAAATCCAGTGGACAAGACTTAAAAAGTCAACACTGTTTTCCACCTCTATTTCATGTTTGGGCAATAAGCAATATGTACGTTGGGTTTGAATTGAGGTCAGCTGAGATTATAAAACGAAACGGCCCATTTTCGTTAGGCACCGAGACCAATATTGGTCGATTCTGTAATTTTCATCTTTGTCTAGAACTCTTCAAAAAGCTTATAACTTTTTACCAGATCCTAAAACTTTGATGAGACCTGCGTATCCTCCTACCCTTGACTTTTCCTCTTCCAGAAAAAAGGGAAATTTAGCGGACAAGACTTAAAAAGTCAACACTGTTTTCCCCTTCATTTCAAGCTTAGGCAACACTGTATTCAACACTGATCAAAATGTATATTTGTAAGTACAGACTACCATGACTATGACCGCCAGAAGACTAAAAACGAAACGGCACAATGATTAAATTAAAAATTAACACAATTGAACCATACTGTTTATTCGCGATACTTTTCGCGCGTCGAGTCAGAGCGAGGCGAAGCGGACCCCGACACGCGCAGAATTACGATATGTCCCTCGCCAAACGGTGTATTCCTCTCTATCATAATCTGTCGGAATGAATAGTGGGCTCCTGACGTCGGGCTAGCAATACTAATGATGATTTGGGTATTGATTGCCTTTGGCGCTACGACCCGGGTACGCTATTATTCGCGATTTATGGCCAATACCAATTTAACAATTGGCCCAATTACGGGTTTGTGGGCAACCCAGGCACGGACTGTTCAAAAGCTCGGGAAAAAATCGTAATCTATTTAATTTCCCTATATTTATGATTCTTCGGAAAAAAATGAATATATTCACTATATTTGTATTAGGACGAAAAATAAAATGAATGAGGAAGAAAACAGTATAGGTGTATTGCTGGAAATGGGAGCCAAATAAGACAAATATTAAAAAAGCGAACTTAACAATAGAAGAAGAGGATAGTTGGGCCAATTACCCAATCCAGCCCGGAGGACCAATAAAATACATAAATCAATAAACACGCACATTAGTTTACATGTGTAAGTATATATATTTTATTTTATGAAAGGTGAGTAGTTGGGAGGGAAAGAGAAGGAGAGTGAGGGAAAGAGAAGATAAGGAGAGTTAGATAAAAAATCAGAAAAAGTAATGAGTTTGTGTTTTTTGGTTGCATGAGTTTTAAAAAATATATATTGGTTTTAAAAACCCCGTTTACACTGGTGTCCGTATTTTATTGGTCATCCGGGCCGGATAAGGTTGGTAGAGTTTTCCTGAGTGCAGACGCATTTAAAAACAGACCCATATATTTTTTATAACAAAAAAGATAAAAGAAAAGGAATATTTAAAAAATTTAAGAGCGTTCTGAGAACTGGTCGTCAATCTAACGGCATCATTACCGATCACTATCGGGCCATCCAATGAAACTAAAAAAGGAATTTTTAGAAAATAAATGTACATAATATAAAGCAGAGAGTGAGACAGAGATAAGTCCGTTTTTAAAGACTAGTCATGGAAAATTTAAAATAAAACATCACCCGCTCCGAGGGTTGATCGTATACGAATGTTTTTACTGATCCTATCACTCCTGTCAAGGCAAGGAATTTTCAAAAATAAATATATATAAAACAGATAGTGATATAGGCGGCAAATTTTTTTGATATTTTATTCAGACTGAACAAGTTTGGTCCTCCGGGCCTGATTAATCTAAAGATGCGTTTGGTTTTATTTATTCCACACTACAATAAAATATGTGGTATGTCGCTTATAAGATTAAGGATTTATCCATCCGCTCGGAAGACCACTGCTTTCACGAATTGCTATTTCTTTGAATTAACTATATTTAAAGACGATATTGGACTTTAAATCTATTATTATATACATATTCGATACACTATTATTACACTCATACATATAAATAATTATTATATACATACTTGATCCGGCCCGGAGGACCACAAATTCAGTCTAAAAGGGAGGATTCTTCCTATAAACTATCAATGCTCGATCTTTCTGATTGACATTGTTACTATTGATACTGCGTTTTATTTTAAAGTTTTGCACGTATGTTGTGCATTGCTGAATTTTATGTAAGTGCATATGTACATGTGAGCCAACCCGGAGGGCCATAAATTAATATAAGTAACATATAATTATCGTCGAGCGTTCTGATAGTTGATAATGACATCTGCCATTTGTTATTTTACGCTTAGGTTTACATCGTAACTGAACATTCTGTTTTTTGTTTTTTCGAATTTTATGTAACTGTATTCGTCATAGACACCCGATCCGGCCCGGAGGACCTTGACTTTCTATCTAAATAAAATATTAAAGATGGTCACTTATTCCTGCTGAATAATATTTTTTATTGTTGATTTTATATTTACAGTTATATACCTGGATATTTTTTGTTTTTGAATTTTTATGTAAGTGTATCCTGCAAAAATTAAATTGTTCCAACACTAATTAAGGTGTTGGATTTTTATTTAAGTCTTAAAACATAAGATTTGTATAGTTTTTCTTTAAATAATTATAAATTTGTTAGAGTAATACTAAATTATATGGATGTATATTTTGTGATGCAAATAATCATCATAGGCACTGAGAGTAGATGATCTATCTATCGTGTATTCTGCATATAAACTCGATCCGACCCGAAGGATTTTTTTACTTGAATTATATATATATATAATATATATGTACATATTTTATGGTACGGCCCGGACATTCTCTACTTGCACCCACTGATTAATATTTTTGTTATTGATTATACGTTTTATTAAGTGTATTTTGTATATAAAACCGATTCGGTTCGGAAGTCCACAACATTAAGTCCTAATAACATAAGATTTGTAAATTTTCTCTTTAACCTAAGTTTGTTAGTAAAACACTAAGTTTTACGCAGGTATATTTATTGATCCGGCCCGGAGGACCACTGCTTTAATCTAAATTACATACTAACGATCTGATGCTTGATTCTTCTTAATAGTATTTTTATGGATGATTGTATGCCTTGCATTATAGTTGTTGAACTTGTGTGGCAAACACACAAGTACTTGTACATTGAATTTATTAAGTAATTCAGCAGAATGTAAAAAAAAAAAATTATTTATTTTTGTTTGTTTTTTGTTTTCATTTATCAAGTAGAAATATTTTTCGGATAAAGAAGGTGAGGTGAACAGTGAGTGAGTGAGAGAGAGAGGAGAGAGACAGAGAGAGAAAGAGAGATAGAAGAAGGAGAAGAAAATAAATAAAACAACGGCGTTCTGAGAGTATAGTTATTCTAATCTATATATCTAATCTTATCTTCCAGGATGTACCTAACGAAAATTTTACAATACGGTCGAAGGTATTTTTTGCACATTTGTACTTTATTGTCATAGAATTTTTTTAATAGCCATTTCACCCCCGGCCTGGAGGGCCGCAAATTCTAACAAAATAGCGTAGGATTTTCATTTCAAACAAACCATCTATTTTTCTTACTTATTAATATTTTTATTCTAGATATACTTTACAACTATACCCAGATGGGTTGTTGAACCTTTATGTAAGTGTATTATGTATAAAAATTTGATCCGGCCCGGAGGACCATTTTCAATCCAAATTAACAAAACAACTCTGAAATTTGTTTCTATTTACTTACATTTTTATTTTTGATTATTCGCTTTGTATTACAGTCATTTAAGTGAATATAAAAGTAATAAAAAAGTGAATATAAATATAAAGATCGCATAATTTTTCATATTGGCTGATAGCGTAAATTTTTTTCTTCAAAAGAACGATATCACGATTTGTTCCTACTTATTAATATATTTATTCTTGATGATACTCAATAACTATACACAAATGTGTTGACGAACATTTATGTAAATTTATTATGTAAATAAACTCGATCCGGGCCGGAGGATCGCAAATTCACCCAACATTGCGGTAGATTTTTTCTTCAAACTAAAGATCTCACAAATTGTTTCTACTGGTTATTAAATTTATTCTTGATAATATTGTACAACTATCCACAGATGCGTTGTTAGACTTTTATTTCAATTCATTCTGTACATAAATTCGAAATGACCCGGAGGACCGCAAATACAGTCTCAATACCGCAAATTTTTCCCTTGAAAATAACTATCCCACATTTTGTTTCTACTGGTCAATATATTTATTATTGATAATACTGTACTACTATATACAGATGTGTTGAACTTTTATGNGACCCGGAGGACCGCAAATTCAGTCAACATCGCGTTGGATTTTCCTTCAAACTAACCATCTTAAAAGTATTCATCTTGACGATATTTTAATTTTTAATTGAGCCTCGAAACTATAAACAGATGTGTTGTTGAACTTTTACGTAAGTTTAGCATGTACATAAATTTGATCCGGCCCGGAGGACCGCAAATTTTGTCTAGCTAGCTTAAATTTTTCCCTTGAAACAAACAATCTCAAATTTTTTCTACTGATCGATATTTTTGTTCATGATTGTAATGTACAACACTGTATTATAGATTTTATATTCTATACCGGAGGACCACAAATTCAGTCTAAATAGGACGTAGGACTTTTTCCTTTCATGGACTTTATGTTTACTTGTTCTTCATTTTCATAGGGGTATTTTTTTAAAGTCAGCTTTTTTCTCTTATATTTGACATGGAAAATGTGATAAAATATAAACAATTTCCCATATATTAACAATTAACGTTTTATTTTTAGGCATTTTTTACCTGTCGATTGCGATTTTTTAATCCGAAACTTAGGTGGGGGGAAAAACAGCAGCGCACAAAAACTCCCGCCGAACTCGCGAAACACCGGAAAAAAATACAACAAAAAAACAAAACAAAGAAATTAAAGAACAAATTTTCTCCCGTCAAACACGCGATCTCTGAACGGCGAGGCAGCACGGACCAGTCGGAGCTGTGGTTTGTCACTGGCATAGGGTCCCGGGCCGGCGGGCGTACTGGGTTCTCGGGTTCTTCGGGTCCCGTCGGCCTCGTCCGCCTCCCCTCCTGGTTCCGGGATCTCGTATCCAGGGAGATGGTCGACGGGGAGGAAGCACTCCCGGGTATCCAGACGCAGAACCCAAAACACTAAACAAAAAAGTTTTTCCGATTTTTGTACCATTTTCTACCTTTTAACTAGGGTTTTCATCCAAACATAAAACACATTTGCATAAAACCGCAAAACAAAACAAAAATTCAATCAAAACCACGTCAACCATACTTGTGCAAAACCGGTTGTAACTCCGATAATTATTATATGATAATATTATGCTAATTTTAATTCAAAGCACGTCCGTACACATGTTTGATTCTATTTAGTTTGATGCATGTTAAGAGGAGAACAATAAACCCACTCGGGATCGCGGTGAAGCATTTGTCACCTCCTATTATCTACCAATCTTCATTGAGATACGCTATGCTCTCTCTGTATTGATTAATATTTATATTGTTTAATTTTTATGGCTGTTTTTGAACATTTATGTTATATGTGTATCGATCAAGTCCACCAATTCAGTCTAAAAAACCTTTTAATATAAAGAGTTTTTACCTTTTACAAAAGAGTATTCAGTACAAACTCGATCCGATCACTTATATGCCGTATGATACGCTTAACACTACCGTAAAATGTTCGGTATGTCGTATATCAAAAAGATTAAGGATTTATCTATCCGGCCCGGAGGACC